TGAAGCATTGCTCCTGGCATAGGGAATTCTCAGACTTGTTCTCTTTGGATTTCCCTCTGCCAGGTGAGTAGTTAGACTGGTAATCATCTGTACAACACTCAATATACTTTGGATTTCCCTCTGCCAGCTGTGTGACTGAGCCACAGCCCCCAGAGGTCACTCTTACACTAACAGCCAGATGAAGCATGTTAACCAGGAGCTAGAATAGTAGTTGTGCTTGTTCTGCGATGAGCAGCAAGATGACTGAGATGAGCTGCTTTCAGATGTAGAGTTCCAGTACAATAACCACATTTACACTGGCACACAGATGTCCCCATTCTTCCTTGACACTGGCTGTCACCCTTGAATGGGTTTTGAGCCTTGTACACATCCATCCAAGAACAAGTCAGTGAATGAGTTTGTAGATCAGATAATAATGGCACAGAAAGAGGCAAAGGCAGTGCTAGCCAAGGCAAAGAATAATATGGCCCAATACTATGACCAAGGATGCACTCCAGCACCACAGTACAAGCAAGGAAATCAAGTATACCTGGATGCATCAGATATCATGACTACTCAGCCCTCACAAAAGCTATCTCATCACCATCTGGAACCATTTGTAGTCAAACAACAGGTAGGCCCTCTAGCATATTGCCTAAGGCTACCTGTGAAGATGTGCCAACTCCACCCAGTCTTTGATGTGATAAAGCTATTTCCTGCTCTAGATGACCCTATTCCTGGCCACCATCCAAATTTGCCACCACCACCAGTTCTAATCAACAATGAGGAGTATGAAGTGGAGGAGATTCTGGACAGTTGTCTCTTTCAGCATAAGCTCCAGTTCAAGGTAAAATAGAAGGGTTATATCTTGGGAACCATAGGAGAATGTCCATGCACCTGGTCTAATCTGAGAGTTTTATCAATGACACTCTAATGCTTCCCAAGCCATCTGAGGAATCTACTCTATTTCACCAACTGACAGAGCGATTTGGAACTTCTTCTACCCTGCACATTGAGACACCACATGCTAGAGGGGGGAGTGATGTCAGGAGACCTATCTCTCTCCACCTTTCACCTCTCTGCCCCACTATGATTTTCCTTTATTCTCCTTCTTTATCCCTCCCTTTTGGTCCTACTTTCAGCCCTCTAGCTTCAATTCTGATCTATATATAATTCAGACAAGTTCCTAACCTGGCAGACTTGGAAGGGGTTTTCTTTTTAGGAACACCTTCCTCTTTTGGCAATGTCTGGCAACTTCTGGAGTTTGATCATTTTCAGAGATTTGCTCCTTTGGGTTTTTCTTGTGGCTGACTGTGGTTTTTGTATATTGTACAGTTCCTTCCCATGCATCAGAAGCCTCTAAAGCATTTCTCCTGGCATAGAGAATCCTTAAACTTGTTCTCTTTGGATTTATCTCTGCCAGGTGAGTAGTTAGACCAGTAGTCATCTATACAACACACAGTAGACTTTGGATTTCCCTTTGTCAGCTGTGTGACTGAGCCACAGCCTCCATAGGTTGCCCTTACAGTTGGGGCCAGATTAAACATTGTGTTAATGAAGAGTTTAAGAGCAAAGCCTCCATGCTGAAGGCATGGAGTGTAGCTTGTTAATTATAATTAGGCTATAATCATAATTAATATCCATTACACAAATGATGAGGATGCAGTACAACTCAAGGATCTTTGTTTCTTTGTTTCCAATGAAGGAGACTATGATAAATGAGACTTGGTAGATTGGCATCTTGATTGCATCTCCAAAGGCATGTGAGTGCACCTCAGAAAATTTTGCTTGGGTACTTGGCATACTAAGTGGAGCAAGAAGCCTGACTGTGACCTGAACAAGATGACAATTTCACTTTCTGGTTTTTGGGCACTCCTTGCTTGGTCATGGGCCAACATCTTTCACATACTGTAAGTCCCCTTACAAAAAATGCTACATCCTAGGTAGAAGGGTAAATTAAGATGGTCTGAAAATTTGAAGACTCTCACTCAATGGGGTAGAGCTACAGAAAAAAATGGCTAGAAATTTCACTTCCTGACACATGATAGTAGTCAAAGGAGTCAAAAGGAGGGCCCAACCGGGAATTGAACCCGGGACCACCTCCACATATCAGTAGAATCTACTGTGAAAAGCCCGAAGGAGGTATCATGCTACTAGACCATTAGGCCTACGCCCAGTCAGAATTTGTGAATCACGTAAGCATGCAGGAGTGTTTCCCTCGGCTACCTTATGGGTGAGTTATGGAATCCCTCCAACGTGCGTGTGCCAGCTACCAAAGCCAGAAAGCTTTGACAAGATATACAGGTCTATCTTAGATCTTAAATCATTTGCACTTGGCATTCAGTAACCGTTTCCAAAGTTCTCAGCTTTCGGGCTTCAGTAAAGTCACTCGGCCAACCAGTTCAGGAGGAATATCTGCCGGTGCTAGCAAATTATCTACATATCCATGACTACTTCTGGAGTTCTCAGCCTTCGAGCTCCAACAGCTTCGCCTCCATAGTCTGCAAACAACCAGTTCAGGACTGCTGCGAGGCGAATACCAGCCTGTGCCAGTAACTTCTCTATGATGAGATCATCCTTAATGACACCTGCATACTTCGGGGTTTCCAGTTGCAAAAGAGGGTGACGTGGTTCACGAATAGCGTTATTTTCCTCTGTATCACAATTGTGATCATGATCTCCATCAAGTCCGAATCCATCACAAGCTCCTCTGCTGTTCTCACTTTCAGAAGGTACGGCAAAAAGACCACCGTTGTAAGGAGGTTGGTCGAGCTCTGGAGGCCAGACGATGTCACAGTTAAGCGAGTGGATGGGTTGAGCCCAATGGTAAGGGCAGAATTTATCATCGTCCGTGTCACTAGGGTCAAAGGTGAATGCAGACAAGACTTTCTGCCACCTAGACGAGGAAGCCGAGAGCGTCGGGCAGATCAACCAGCCAGACAGCTCGGATGACCATTGGGAGAGAATGCCTTCCCACATGATGCGCCGTACGTAAGGATCGTAGATGGTATCGCGTAGCGCGAATTCAATTTGTTGCGAAGGAAGAGGCGCAGAATAATTCCTCGGTGTCTCACGGATGGCTTTGGCGATGAGCAAACTGTCCCAAACGGAGTGCAGATCTGGAAGACAGTTTAGTTGAGAACGAACGTGAGTGGTACGCGTACTCACTAGTTGTTCTGGCTCCAAATTTGACCTTGTTAGAGTTTCCCCCTCGATCCCGCCCGGTGAGATGCAAAGGCATATGCATGTCGCCCATGAAATGGACAAGGAATTTGAGTGCCTCGTTCGCAGTGCTAATCGAGCTCTCGCCGTCGACGTATTGTTCGAGAAGAGTGGTCGTGTTCCTTACGCCGCCAAGAACGTTCAGCTTTCCCTCCCACCCTTGCGAGCCCGGAAACTTGCAGAGATCAGGCGGGTGGTCGCCCAATCCGCCAATATAATGAAGCGGTGCAGACCAACGCATCTTGAACCTCAGACGGTCAGCCCATGAGGCAATAGGTGCGAGGTGGCACTGAGGCTCGTCAGGGTTTGTTGAAGTGAAGTTGAGGATATCGCAGACGGTAGGTAGGACAGTCGGATGTAAATGAATTTGGGCTATCGTAGCAATGATTTCATGGCCGGCAGCTCCCCAGGCAAGGGAGGTAGGAAGACTGGCACTGGCGAGTAGTAGGAACAAAGGAGAAAGATACATTGTTCATTACAAGGGCGTTATGGCGTTGCTTATAACGAACAAGGCCTCCCTCCAGTAGACAACGAGGACTGTTAAGGCTAGTCACATGTTGGATGCATGGAGATCGGACCGGGGATACGCGACCTGCACCACTTTCCCAGACATAGAATATGACTGGTAATCCACGTCTAATTAGGCGTGATTAGCTTGACTGCAAGCTTCCTTCAATAATGCGGTTACTCTAACGGTTGAACCTTGTCTCTGAGACCATCGGTTTACAGTCGGAGCCCATTGCCTGTGGTGCCTAGGCCATCAGGCACGGGCGTCGGCGTCCGCTGACATATCTCCGACGTCCGTCAGCACGGCCCGGAGATAAATGCATGGGTCGTGAATCTTCCTTGACCGTCTGCAGCGCTGATTCTTTGTCAAACACAATCTGCTGGAAACTTCATAATGAGTAGATGAATCTTGACCAGCCTGAGAATCCCACTGGCATACAGGATTATTCACTCATACCAAGGACCAACCGAAGTATCTATACTCTATGTGGCTATCACCCACTGGGATACACAAAAGGTCCTGGTGGGACTACTTCCATCCAAGAGGACTCTAACACAAAACACACTCGATTGACATTGTGCTCAAAGGTGCACAACCTGTAGATGCCAGCCTGTTGGCCTCGACGGGTGAATGGCTGTCTTTGTTGATGTTTTCGTGTTTATAACAAGCAGAGGACAATTCCGTCCGTTTCGCTAGTCTCCCAGGCTGTGATAGGACCCTACGGTCTAACCCATGATCGATCCAGTTGTGTATCGGTCATTAAAATCAGCGTACTAAAAGATGTCTAGTAGCTTCTGAACCTCTGCTCCCTAGACTTACAAACTAAGAGACTAGTCAAAAGGCGTATATTGAAAATCGGATCCAACCCGGAAAAATCTCGGGAGATAAGATATAAGATGATCCATGAGTTATTCCTGATAAGATTCGGTTGAGATTCAGTTGACGGCCGTTTGCCAACCCTTCGTGCCTCTTCGTGCCCCATGACTGATTCTAACCGCATGAGCATCGTGATGCTAGTACATACTGCACAGTTCTGCCTTCACATCTGCCTTCTTCCTGCCTCTTTCAACGTGAGTTCGTGCGATATAGAATGATTGAGACACCAGTAGCCTGAAAAAAATTGGAATGAATAGTAGCGGTACAGTGTGTTTCCCTTCTAATGTACCTTGCTAAAGATGGATCCGTCTCCGCCTCATGATCCCCCCGCGTGTAACGATGATCTGTGACGCATTCGGATCCTGCTGACGAACGCATACATCGATTCTAATTTTTCCCCCTTGAGGACTCGGTAGACAGATGTCTGGTCATCAAGCTCCATGCAAGACGTGTATACTTGGGACTCGAAGATGTTACGACTTGAATCGAGTCGCCTTGTCGTAAATTAGCGCCATTTCGGAGCCAGGTGGGTGGGCCGAGTCCAGGAATTGGGGTCAAGTTGGGGTGCCCCGCTTTTCTATGTACTTCCAGTTCCGGATGATAAATGACGCCCCAACGGTTACCAGTGTCTTCCGATCTTCCGAGACATATGTCAAGCGTATACCATAATTTTACATTTATTTTATTCTTAAACTACTTTTTCCGAACATCTTCGACACTTCTGATGTCAGCTGATAATGCGAATGGTAATAATTGGCTTCCAGATAAGTCAGTCCAGCTTCTATTGGGATAATGACTAGCTTGAGGCCAGTCATTAATTTGCAAGGCTGAGTGAGTAATGAGTGCAGTCGAGAAGTTGGGTGTCCTGTTTTTGGTATGTACAATTCAGTTACGGTCTTGATTGACATTGACTCCCCAACAGTCACCGGTG